GCTCACGACCAAGCTGCATCGCGTCAGGGCCACCTTGAAGTTCTTCCTCCGTCCAGCAGCAATCACTGCCACAGGCGAGCGCCATGGACACGAGGGGCGTGGAGTTGAGGGTTTGCAAGTGAGGCTCCAGACCGAGCAACCTGCTACACCATCGCAAGCGCTGCCTGCACGACTGCACAATCCGCACGCTGCGCGTTATTTTAATTCCTGCGCTCAGGCCTTCGCCTGGATGGGTTATCTGACTGCTGACCCTTCATCCTGCTATGGTCGCTTCTGAGCCACATGCATATAGCAGAGCCTGGCAATCACGCACCAGTAACCCCATGACTGTGGAGGATACGGGCCTGCTCAGCACACCGATTTTGCTGGATATGCGAGGCGGGAACCTTCAGGGATTGATAGATGCCTGGTCCACACAAGCTGTGCATGCTCTGGAGTGGCACTCTGTCCTAATACTTTTGCAACTAAAGCGCTATACCAGCGTTGATGGGGCTCCCTCCAAGAACTTCGAGCCTGTCCATGCCCAGCCAGGTGAAGCCCTTGCAGTCTCCGTGTTTGCTGCCTCTGACAGCCTGGAGCTGCTACATCAATTTAGGGTTGCCCGTGTCATATATCATCATGGGGTTTCTCCTCATAGTGGTCACTATCAGATTGTGCCAATGGGCTCCAGCCAATAGTCTGCACTCACACATAGCCATGCAGGTCGAACTTCCTGGCCTATTTGGCTGCCCTTGAGGAGTCTCTGTTGCTGCAGGCCTACAGAACTTTGTGCGGTGTCTATGTCGGGGCTCAGTCTCCGCCAGTGACGACGACGTCGAGCCGTAATGATATCTTGGCACTTGCACACATACGTTTGGGGCCCACCGCACTGGAGGCTTTCTTGCAGCACGCCGCCTCCCTTAGTCGGGAGCTCTGTGGTGTAACAGTTGTTAAGCTCCCTGAGCCTTGGGCGTTTTCAATCCCTTGGCCACGGAGGCTGAACAGCTTTGCTTGGCACTGCCTAGGGGAAGGTCTGGGCTCACTGTGGACCTCAGTACGATCCGTGGTGGCCCTGCTGCCCTTTGATGAAGACACCCGTAAGTTCTCGGACGAATTTGATCTGCACCTTGGGCCTGCTTTCCAAGCGAGGAACGCATGGGCTAACTGAGCATACCGGTGCGCACAAGAATGTCTGCAGATTGCTCAAGCAAATGGTGCGAACGATCTGCCCTGACCTTCGCTGGAGCAGCCTTACCTTGACATTGGACAACCGCTGCAAGCCACACACTGATACTGGCAACTGGCATGGTGATAGCTTTGCCTTGCCACCATGATGCCGGAGGCTTGTGGGTGGCTCACACGGATGGCAGCGACTATGTTGAGGTTGGTGAGACCTTGTTTGCGGTAGATGTTATCCCGACGAGTGCACAGGGAATTCTTTTTCCGGGACGGTCCTGCATGCACTCGACCCGTGCGTAGACTGGTGACAATAGGGTGATGCTGATTGCTTATTGTGCTTCTAGCTACTCTACGGCCCCGGCTGAGCTTCTGAAGCAAGCCGAAGAGCTTGGCTTCATTCTGCCGTGCCCAGTGATGCCTGGGCAGCATGCTCCCCCTGCCTCATTTGGTTTTTTGGTCCCTTCCTCCCTTAGGACTCCTACCTTCCTGACCAGCAGCTTTGCATTGCTCCTCACGTCCAAGGGTGACGGTCGTGAGTTGCTCCGTTTGCATCAATCCAAAAACCTATCGGTTTGCAAACCGCTGTGCACACCTGCTGCCTGCTGGAGCCATGCCTCTGTAGGGTTACCACGGTGCCCTTGCCGCGACACTGAGGTGCACATGGCGGTACCTGCCACTGCTCTGGCCTTACCAACCATGGCTAAAGCTACAGCTGCTCGTACCATCTGTGCCACTCGGGGCTGTCACATCAGTTTCCTCGAGAATGGACATCGCCACTGCTGCGCGGATTGCAGACAGACAAGGGGGGCCTACCATTCGCGGCACTGACGCTCGGTGCAACGACATGGCCGTTCAGCCATTCTTGAAAACTCTGCTGCAATTGGCCATCGCTTGTTCCCTTGTTGTACCATATGGCGATCGTGAGTGAGCGACTACTAGTACTACTACTACTACTACTACTACTACCACCACCACGACTACTACTACTACTACTACCACTACTACCACTACGACTACTACTACTACTACTACTACTACTGCTGACGTGCAATGTCACGCCAGGACATCCGTATTAGGATTAAACCAATTAAACCCTCAACCTCCTCTCACCCAAAACCTTACTACTACTACTACTACTACTACTAGTAGTAGTAGTACGACTACTACTACAACACTACCGCTACCGCTACCGCTACTGCCACTGCCACTGCCACTGCCACTGCCACTGCCACTGCCACTGCCACTGCCACTGCCACTGCCACTGCCACTGCTACTGCTACTGCTGCTGCTACTGCAAATTTGCAGCTACTGGAATTATCTGAGAGTTTTGTCAAAGTCCTGATTATGATTTGAGTCTACAACATTGCTGGTTCCTGGAACTTTGACCCCCATGACCAGGAGCTGGCATGGATGTGTTTGCAAACATTCAATCTGGAGCACTTGGGTGCAGGCCCAGTGCGCACAAGTGACCAGTCCACTTGCCTTGGATCTGTACCTGCGCCGAGAGCCCGAAAAGCTCGCAAGCAGCCGGCCAAGATTGGCATTTGGCGCACTTAAGCGGAAAGATCTCCGCACAGTAGATCCAAGTGATCGGACCCCAACCTGAATTGACCGGTCACAAGTCACAACTGCTTGCTGCCGGCAAGAAGAACCTGGGGAGCCAGCCGAACGCAAAAGCAAAAGTATGCATGAGGATTGCGCCTCACCGCCGATGCAAAGGCTCAGCAAATCTTTGGTCACAACCGGGGGAGCGCCTGCTATCACTGCTTTTGTGCCTTCACCACACTCACTGGCATCGACTGCCTCAGGCTAACCCTTCAAACACGTGCCATGCAAATGTCGGAATCGGGCACAGAGCAGAGGCCAGATTTACGGTGGCGCAGCTGCCGGCCTTTGCGTCAACCGGTACACAAAGCGGACTCCCACCGAGCGCCAGCCGAGCTCTGCACAGCAGCGAGAATGAAGCCTCGCGCGCTTGATGATAACCCATCTCCGTTAACGAACGCTTTGAACTTATGACTTGTGACTCTCTTGCGGCCCACAAAGACCTTTGTCACAACAATGGCATCAACTGGCAAGGGTAGGTATCGTATCGGCATGACAAGGACCACAACAATGAGTAGGACATTGTGGCATGATTAATAAACACCCGCTACCGGGGACAAAAAATTAGCATCGAATCCCTGAAACGGAAAGCATCATTGTGGCGATGTGGTGGATCGCGCCCTGCGACAGACTTGTTGACAGGATGGCTAGACATCTATGGCCCCAAAGCGCAGATTCGCGGAGACACACAAGATTCATGCTCCGCACATTAAGCGTCTTATGCAACGAAGGCGCTTGAATTCAACGAGAAGCAGTTCATGACACACTGACGTACTGTGGCATTGTGTTTTGAACATGGACTGCCAGCGCTGGAATCTTCGTGGGCTCCCAACAGCAGGTCATCATGGCGAGGGCGCTGAAGAGAAGCATCTTCTTTCGACCAACTCGGTCAACCAGCAGCATTGCCTGGCCCAGTGTCAAAACTCGAAATAAGACAGGAACACAACAGATGTGGAAGATCACCGCAATCAGAACACACTTATGCATGGCCGGGTGATTGCGATTGGCAAGCGACAGGAACCGACAAAGAGTCAGAGTCATTACAGGGATAGACAAGAAAACACATGACAGGCCTTGACCTTTAATGGTGCTCAAGCGCCTTATTTTCGTCGGTCGTTTGCCAAGTTCTGAGGATTTTGGACCGGCACGGCGTTGCGATAGGGTCCAGTCCCGGAACAGGGTTACACACACGGAGGCACACACACACACAAAAAAAAAAAACTGACAAACACGAGCAGGCTACCACGGACATACCATAGTGAAGCGTTTCAATCCTGATGCCTGGCTGGGTTGCTAGCTGCAGCAGCGGCAGCTGCTGCTGTGCTGCAGCTGCTGCTCAAGTTCCAGGCTGGAACTGAGACTTTTCTTGTAGTATGATATCGGCATGAACATCATATGTAGTGCAGATGGAGGCGCATCTGCAGTGTTTGTTCAGTGTTAGTTGCCTAAATTTGGAGCACTGAACAGACATGTCAACCTGCATTAAATTTCAAATCTTAACCTTCGAAAATACTTCGGACTCAGCCTGGAATCATGCAACGAAGAGCATCGCATCGCACAAAATGACACGTCGGCTGTGGAGCTATTGGTGGCAAGGCTACAAAACAGGCCAGTCGCGCTGGAATCGTTCCCAACAAGTTGGCAGCGACGAACCTCAGTTGCCATCGAATGTCGTGCAGCCTTTTGAGACAGACAGGCAGGCGCTGCTCGTGAACTCTCGCTGCGTTCCGCGCCAAGGTGTAAAGGAGAAGCCACCTTCTCGGGTGTCAAAAAAACATACGCCAATCGCGGATTTCTGGATGTCCGAAATAAGTGTCGAACCGGAGGACTGGAAGACTTCGTTGATGAGCTGCGAACCATGGAGAAGAAAATATACAAAGCCTGGTGACACAAGAGGCTCTTGGTTAAGTTCTCTTGTTGTGGTTGCTGGTGCTTTTCAATTTTCTTGTTCTTATTACTAGTCCGCCTGTTTGTCTTAAGCTGACTTGGCTTCGGTGCGGGTGGGGGAGTTGGGAGGGAGGGCTGCCGCCTCTCCAATGCAGTTCAAGATGCAGCATGAACGACCTGCAGCTCTATGACTTGTGATTACTACGATACGGATACTGATCTTGTCACTGCAACGGTTGCTAGTGCTTTGAATACTGCTACAATTCATAGCATCGCTGAAGCTGTGACACAGCAATGGCGGGACCCAAGAGTGCAACTGTAAAACTGAAATAGCTTCGCGTGGGCTGGTTTCGACTTGGTTTGGGACTTCAGCGGGGCCGGGTCGCCCAAATGGAGATGTGCCAAGAGAGGCTGGAGGCACAGTGAAAGACATGCGAAACCCTACTGGACTAGAATACTGTGGATAGCACCCTCTTCAAAGTTTGAGAAAGAAAAGCCAGGATGTCGGAAGAAGCAAAAAGCCAACAAAGCAGCTCCCTCCTGAATGTGCATCGCAACAAGAGAATGTCTCGGCGCTTGGCCGCAAAGCTGCTGCAGCAGTTGGAGTACTACGCCTATAGCCAGGGCCTGGCTTCAGGCGACGATACAAAGTGATGCAACAGCTTAGCAACGGCGACCTTCAGGTTCACACCGGAGAGCAGCTCAACCCAGTTTGCTTTCCCGGTTGCCCTGCCACGTATGCAGTCGCGCGCGCCAAGGCCGTCAACGAGCAATCTGTCACTCGGAAACCAGGTTCCGCGATCCCCACATGCTGCCAAGTTTCGTCTGTCTGCGGAACTCTCTCTGGCACATGGCGATTTCGAGCCTGCAATCCAATCCCCCGGCCCTACACACGCAGGTCTTCAAACAAATTGCCCATTGCAGGACCAACTTTGAGCTGAGACTGCGTGCCTGACATCTTGACGGGATGAGCAGGTGCGGCGAGCTAGCGATAGTGCCTCTTTGAACTGCCTCCTGCCACGGCTTTCAGTGAACTTTGGTGGGCTTTTGAACCTCGGACACGCCTGGAGACCAGCCATCTGTAGGAATTCGGCCTCAGCCAAAACATCTTCGGAGAAACACAGCCGCTTCGGCTTCGGCTTGTCTGATCGTGCTTACAACTTACGAACGCTTGTCAGTTATTTCTCAATTTTTCTATCAGGACGAAGCTGTAAGGCGATAAGTCACAGCATCACAAGCACGACAAGAACTCGAGATGGACCTTGCTTCCTCAACGAGAAGCCAGGATGGTTCACGCCAAGTTGCTCTAACATGATACAATACCTGCACCCAACAAAGACTAATAGTTTCAACCAGCTCAGTACTGAAACTAGAACATGACTTGCGCAGGCCCTCATCGGTGATGGGACCGTGCTTCCCTTCGACTTTGGCTGGCCGCAAACCGAAAGCCGAAGCTGGGCCTGTTCCACTGACAGCCGTTACCGCATGTCGCGATTGAGGGCACATCGAGGCCGCGAGCCGCGAAGGGTTCCGCTTAGGACATGGAATATCCCTGTCAAGATACTTGTCCACGACGAGGCGAAGGCTGAAGACTCTTCGAGCGACGGTCCCGGTACGATGACAGGAAAGTGGGGAGATGGTGAAAGATCTGCTGCCGTCCGCACGACACAACGCCAACATGTGCAATAGCCTACACACAGGTAGATGAATAGACAGGCAGGCACAGCGACCCGACAGACCACCGAACTCTCTCAGGAACGGGCAGGAAAGACACGCCTGCAGTAAGAAGGCCTGCAGGGTTTTAAAACCACAATACGCACGCACTGCTCCAGCCCGCCCTGAAGAGCAACTCCACCTGCCAGGACCAGCAGCATGACATCGGAAGAACTCCTGATTCTTCTGCGCCAAGGCTTGGGAAACGTCTGCTGGACATGCAACACAGTCTCACAACACCCACATCAAAAAAACCCAGAACAAGGAACTTGCAACAAGTAAGTGTGGCGCTCGCTTGGATCAAACCAAACGTTGACACAAGATGTCAAGATCAAGCCGAAAGCGATGGCAAGCCTGGCTGCTGATCACAAGACCGCTTCTCTGACAAAAGCCAACTAATCTGGCCAAGGTGGACTGGAACGCAGCCACCATGGCGCCACGATGGTCCTCCACCATAACAGACTGAAAGTTTGTGCTTATCCGCGGTCTCCTGTCGAACTTTGACATCACCCTTGTTACAACGGTCCGGATGAGATACTTCGCCAAGGTAGATTGGGATGCTTGCCTCCGTGTAATGTCCGATGCCACATTGACTCGCAATTCAACTGGCTGCACATGTGGGTTCCAGGCACAAAGCACGCCTGCAGCCGCACCTGTCAAGCAATCCTACAGAATTGCTGTGCGGTTCTCTCGCTACTCTGCATTGAGTGCCTTTTCATGACGTCTACTTCTCCAAATCGGTTTCCGGATCGTCTGTACATAAGCTGCACAAGCTTACCAAATAGGCTACTGTGGCCTCTCTGCGAACATCCCCTCAATGACGTGCGGTTTTTGTTGGGGACACTTCCTTCATCAACAAGGCCCGCCTGAGATGCAAGCTCCGTCGGGCAGCATGTCTTGTGACGGAAGGAATCCTCAGCAAACCAGCCACTGAAACAGCCGAGAGCACGCAGACCAAGGAAACAAATGAGGCACTTGCTCTGGACCGCAGCACCAAGGCAGAATCCAATGCCACCTTCTTCGAGTCCGAATCAGGAACGTACCAGCGCCAATCTTGCAAAGTCGTTGGGGCTCAGGCCGAGATACAGGAAACCCAGACGTCCCAAGCTCTCTATCAGGCATGACGGTGCCTGCCATTTCCAGTGTGCCGCAAGCACTGCGAAGACCAGAACGATACAGCAGCACAACAGGGCAAAGTGACTGCAAGGAGTGGGCCCACCATTCCACCCAAGGCAAACGAACGAATCTCTCCTGTGCAATGAATTTCACGGTCACTGCAACATAACCATCAGATGTGTATTGCAACCACCTTGTTGAATGTCCAGCTGTATTTCAATACCTGGAAACAACAGACGTATTGCCAGCACTTTAGCAACACGTACCATTTCTGGATTCCATAACCACTGCAGCAGGAAGAAGTGGTACTGAGGCGCCGTCCAAGCAACATGCCACCCAGTGCCGCACAAAGACTGCCTGCCGCCGAGATCTCCCAACCTGTTCAAACAGGGAACCAACTTAAACATCATCGCGGGCAGGGAAGCTGCTCTGTATTGATTGAGGGTCGAACTGCTAGTTCCCGGGACAAATTCTTCGTCAAGAAAGTCCTCACACAAGCATCACGAAGCATTCTGCAACCTTGAGGGCATCGATGACAAAACTTCTGAATCGACACAACATGTATCGTTGCAAAAGCCAACACCAGACTGCCTTGTCTGTAACTCGCATCTTCGTCAATATCGCACGAACCTGCACATCCATGGCACACTTAGAACGATGAACTGCGAACGACACTGCGCTCAGTTCAGCACCTCTTCGAAAGGCATGTCATGATTCCATGCAAAGCGTTCGGTCATTGCTGTTGATAAGCTGGTTGGTCTTCAACGAACCACCAATGCCACGACAGACATGGCTGCCGGGTAGTTCTCCCAAGTTTTTTGGGATGAACATGAACTATTGAAGCGCTCACACATGAGCTCATCCGCAGCTACAAACATTGGTTGATGCTCGAAGTCCGTGTTGTGTCCTTTTTCAACCTCTTTTGCCACAAGGCAAATGGCAGCTGTGCGGGTATTTCGAACTGTATAATGGACTTACACCGTGCGCAGCCAACACTACAACGCCACAAACGGGAGGTTTTTCTTTCTTCAAACGATACCAGTGCGGGAAAATCAACAATAAGGCATCTAACACATGCGATTCAGCAAGTTCCATATTTGCCAAACCAAAACATTATCTAAAAACCTGCACGTGTTCATCGTAGCGCTTTCTTCATACATCGTGTTTGGCCTTTTCTGCCAATGCATTCCAACTGTTTAACTGTGAAAATCTCGGAGGGGCTTTGTGTCGGAGTCGTGGTTGAATTCTGAGTCTTCCAACTCAAATCGGGCACCGTTTTCGTTTTCTTTTTCTTCAAAAACATGGAGAGTCAAAAACGAAGAAGAGTTGCAAAGAGCTTTTGAGAGGTGAAAGATCGATTGTCTTCACCACATGCTTTTGCACTTGTTCACTGTCGCACTTGCCCGCACCGACACAATCCAAGCGGAAAAAGAAAGCCGCTCTGCTTTTCGGTTTGCGTGTCTTTTGTCGACTTGTCAGAAGCTTTAAAGCGTAAGTATTTGCGGGCCAATGTCTTGGCAAAGTGCGTTGGTTTTTTGCTTATGTTGACACACAAAGGACGATGCATTTATGAGGAAAGGGTTTGTAGACGCATTTTACAAAACTATACTCCTGTTTTATCTTAGTTTGCAATTTTGTGATCGGCAGATATTTTTAAACGATTCTGAATGGTTCTTTCCAAGCAGCATGCTTCATTCATGAACTTGCATGGTTTCTACATGTACTCTGCGAAAGCAATATCAAGCAACCACATGTCAACTGAAGCCTCAGTTTAGAGTTAAAAAAATCAGAAAGGGTGTGTTTTTGGACTTTTAAGTGAAAAAATGCAAAAAACCATTCGAATTGGAAGGCAAAACTTGGGACTTGACACAAAGTCTTAGAGATAAGATATATCCAGTTAAACAGTTAAAGACTAGTTTTCTTTTGCAGGTAGAAAAGTGCAAAAACGGACTTCAGATTGAAAGCTACAGTTGCTGCAAGCATGTCCAAAGCATCCTGAAACTCTGGGTTTTTTTTGGCTTAGTGTGACAAGATGGAGGGAACTTAAACAACTCGAAATCCAAAAACGCGGCCAAAACCAGAAATGTGGCAGAAAGAAAGCAAGAAAAGGACGTGAAACTCCAAAAGTGCAGAAAAGGAAATTGAACGCCATGTTTTAGACTTTTCTGAGCATGAAAGTGCAAAACCACAAAAAAAATATCCAGAGGAAGAATTGGTTTCTATGCAACTTGTGCGTTAAACGAAGATTCAAAGGAACACAATGCAAGACATTGTCCATAATCGCACCTTGAACATACCTTAGAGACTTCGCTTCTTGAAAAAAGGTTGAGAAACACTTTCTTCTCAGCTTGAGCAGACTCCAAAGCATCAAAGAAGGCACCTTTCTTAAACAGGTCATCCACAACAGCAAAGAAAGGACATGCTGGAAGGTAGCTACACTGCAAACAGAGTGTTTAGGTGGGTGTGTGTGACAGCGGGACGCACCATTCGGCATTAGAGATATGTTGCGGCGGAAACCAGCATGTACATAAGCTGGCCTGTTCACAAAACTAGCATGCTCTGGCATGCTGGACACAAAACCAACCAGCGATGTTTCCGTTTGCTCATTGGACGTGAAATCAAATCAACTTGGAGGTCCTCTCACACGCAAGCACACAGCCTTTGCGGTCTTTGTGGAGTTGGTGCGGCGGTATGCGACGGCTGGAAACACCTTTCTGGTTGGGTTGCAGCCTTTCTCGTTTCGGTGCTAAAAAGCAAAGTCTCTGTGTACTAATGCACAATCTTCACTCGGATCTGCACTCTGTGTACCAGCTTGGGCATGTGGAGCCGGGCGAACGAGACTTTGATTGCCCTCACAAAGCAGGCAAAAAAACATGTGATAACATGGGTAATCTGCGCAAGGTGCGCGCTAGCTTCGCGCTAGCGGCTTAGAGTTTAAGGTCTATGGGGTTTATAGGGTTTAGAGCTTGAGGTTTATGGGGTTTATAAGGTTTTAGGGCTTAAGATTTATAATGTATTTGTGACTATATTGAAGTATACTGTAGGCTGGCGCGCTAGAAAACGTTTCGTTTGTGATGCCGTAATTCTGCTCACACAGCGGAACAGGCACTTGGAGATGAAAAGAAGAGAATTATGAACTACAGGAAAGGTACAAAGGGGAACCGCTCTTCTACCGCTCTTCTCTTCTCTTCTTCCCACATGCGGTTATAATTGAATGAAGAGAAAGCATGAACCGCATGTGAGAAAGAGAAGAGAAATATGAGCGGTTAACCTTCCTAGTCCTTGACTTCGCGGGTCGGAAGCTTTCCAATCATTAAGAGTAGCCCTGCCAATCATCAAGACAAGCCCTGAACCAGCATTCCACTGGACCACTCATGTGGCCCGCGCTAGACACTTCACAGTTTTGCAGTCGAGAAGCTAAAAAATGGAATTCTGCAATGGTGTCGTTTCTCTCTTCCACATGAGGCGTCACGCAACTACTGCCGTAGTTAGGTCAACTCCAGGAACAATAATATTGAAGACCGCCCATATACTAATCTTGTATTGTATGTATACGATGATTATAAATATGAAATATTAAATACGTAATATATACACATATATATACATAATAACAATAAGACATATATATATATNNATAGTATGTATATATATATATAAAGTCACTAGAAAATATTACACTATATACATAGCATAGAAAATATATATAAATAAAACAAATACAGTTTGTATAGTTTTATTATTTTATGTGAAATATAGAAAATATATAATATAAAGTATATATATATATTATAATATATA